ACAGTTGTCACCTTGAATTATTTGGAGGAACAATGAACATCACTGTTGGTTTGAAGAACTTAAAACATTTGGTTGTGCCGTGGACAGAGAGAGATTCAGCTATAATCTGTACAATTATAATTTGTTTCTTTTGGACGTTGTGAGGCTTCAACCTCCGTGACCTGAACTTAGACTGATGCGTGTAGACATACAAAGAGAGAAAGAGTGGGGGGAGGGATGGAGATGAAAATGGGAGAAAGGAGGGGTTGAAGGGGGAAGGGAGGAGAATAATTGGAAATATCTATCGTTAAGTGTGAAACTGTAACCCTGTTGGCTTAGAGCCAGTTTTTGTCCGCAGATCTTCAGCAGGTCACAAATAAAAAATACATTTCCAAATATACAAAACAGGATTGTGGATATTGTTGTTGGGTTTGAATTTTTAGCCACACTAGAAGCATGGCTCTAAAGCCCCATTTCCACCGAGCAGTTCAGTTCAGCTCAGTACACATTTTTTCTGTTTCCACTGTGAAAAAGTTGCAGATAGTGCCAATGGAACCGTTCTGTCCTGTCCCCATTTTCGGTCAGCCCCTCTGTTGGGGTACCTAGCACACAGATCTGGTACAAAAAGGTGGAGGTCAGTAGAGGACGGTCACTCTGCTCAGGGCTGAGTTATGTCTGGTTTTGATGCTCATGTAACCACTGTTCATATTGTGGAGAGTTTTATGGGGCCCAGATTTCTCCTTAGTCATTAGTTCAAGGTCCACACAGTATAATACAGTCAGTGTCATACTTGTTTTTGGCCATGTCGTCGAGCTAGTTTGCTGTCTCTTACAAGTAGCTTTCCGATAGTCACTCACTCTACAGCAGGAAACGGCACCCCAAAAAAAAGCTCTGTGCTGGAAATTTACTGTAAAAATGAAGTGTGTTTTCTATAAACCTGACACGTACAAAGTCATTTAGGGTCCATTCACAATGGACCTGTGACCCACTTTTGGACCAGAAACCACCAGTCGGGAACCACTGTATTTGCATACTTCAACTATAAAATGAAAGGGTGTTTTGCTTCCTCCAGCAGCAGCTGTAGACTTAAAAAATTTCATTCACTGGGCTGACTGCCAGCAACTCTTAATGCAGAACATTTACTTGTAATGTTAATCAATGCTTGAGTTGACCACGCAAATCCAGACCCAAATCTAGAAAGATTTAGGGTCTGGCTATGAGTAATGAAAATGGCCCAACTCGAGGGGCGGCACCAAGCATGCATTTGTAAATATCACTGCACGCAATTGGATAACACTACGACCAATCAGAACAATACACGGGGTGACGTATCCAGAGCTTAGCTACCAGCGGAGCTAACTGGTAGATTAGACTCTTGCCGTATCCGGCAAAACAGCAAAAACTTCTGTTCCTCTTTTAGAGAAAAAGCCAAGTCTAACTCGTTCATTGTAGCAGCCAAAGCCGTTTCAAACAGCTGGTGTTCATCTGTAGCCATCTTGCAATGTTTACTGACTGATTCCGGACTTCATCGTCACAGCGCTGTCATCATCTGTTTAGCTCGCCTCTGGCCTGCCTGTATCAGATACACAATGTGATTGGTGCAGCTCGGCTCCAAGGGCATGGGTAATGAGCATCATTACTGATTGCCAGAGTGACTCGCTGAGCAAATGCAAATTGTGCTCTCCTGAGAACTCTGGATTTCCAGGGTGTGCAAATCCATCAACAAACCTTAAATTTCACTGTGACAACTTTGACCATTTCATTGTTTTTATTGTCTCTCTTGAATGACATACACTTTTAGAAATGAGTGGCTCTTCAAGCGTTTATGAATATCACTTTTGACCGGGTTATGTGAATGTCATATATTCTAATCCTCACTTGGCAAAGCGTCGCTCCTGTGGGCTACAGCAACACTAAACCCTTGAGCTTGCCTGAGAAGGACTAAATGCACAAACCCACTATTTTCAAATATCCCATGGAGAGAGACTCTCACTGCAGCCTGTTTTACTCTGTTCTGAAAATGTCAGCGTGCAGCCTCGTTCTGTGGACTATAAACAAGGTGCAGACTTCCACCTGTGTCACAGAGGAAATACAGTCAGAGCTGGATGGAGCGGTGAGTGACAACAACCCCGCCCACATTTAAGAGTACTGTATGTGGTGGAAATGCTTAACAGACCGAGGGTCTAAGTACCATGTCTCAAGGGTTACTTTTGGTTCTAAAGGTACCATACCAAAAGTGTTTGGTGGAAACAGGGCTTAAGAATGCATCTGTTGGTCCCCCTCTTTGGTTCAGACTAAATAACACTTGTTAGTCAGATGAGTTCACTGTAGGTTTTGGCCTCGTCATGGGATTTGTTGACAGTAAGATAGCTGTATCCTTTAAAGATTCCTGTTTCTGGTTTCAAACATGTCTGTCAGCCTGACCAGTGTTGATTACGATCTGGTTTAGCATTTAAAAAGCTGAGGGAAGTGGGGCTTTTCCAATCTAACTCGTTCACACTCTGTAGCCTCGGGGCAGCCTGTGCTGAATGGCAGAGTGAAAGATTTCCAGTTTGTCTATTCAGGTAACAATCAGCATGGGGCAGCTACAGCCTGGAGGTTTAATACACAGAAGTCCTGTGGGTGTGAGAGCAAAGCAGGGCGTCGCAGGAATAAAAAACTCCCATCACAAGAAAAGGGCACTGTGGGTTAGAGCTCTAACATCAAATATACATCACAAATCAGAGCAGTCATGGTGCTGTAAAAAGGTACAATATGTCCTCAGCTTCATTAACAGGCTGTGAAACTGAAGACATCAGATGTTTACTCTTAAGAAGAAACATTCTGACTGGAGTGCCAGAACTATGCCAAAGGTCTCTTATGCAAGCATGACATCCAGGCTGATGCGCTGGATTTGAAATGTTCCTGCAGGAATATAAATAAACAGGGACTTTATGTTTGTGCTACATTCCCCATATAGCTTCTACACCGAGCAGAGAAGATAGGTATCGGGAATTAACAGTGGGATGTTTCCCATTCGTGCCACCCCTGTAGCAGCCAGGTCACAGTTCAGTGTCCTGCTCGTGGACACTTGGACAAACATCCTGAGTGATTATAAACACTTAAGTTTTGTACGCTGAGGGGAACTGAACTTGTGACTTTGTGGTTGAAGGGCAGATTTTCTAATCACATCTGCACTGATTACAAAGAAATAAATAATCTTTATAGTCAATATATTCAGATTTAATTTCACCCATTAATGTCAGAGCTGTGTCAGATGATGGTGAGGCTGTGAACTGCCCACATCACCAAAGTTTTGTCTCCTGGGGGACAAACTGTAGCGCCACAGATGAGTAAATTTGCATTGAGAGTATTAACAAGTGGCTAAACTGTGCCCTGTTGACTCTAAGGCCATATCAACACCAATACATTTTTATTTTAAAACAGCATATTAAACAAAAATTATCTTTGTACACACTAAAGTCTTAGCGCCGTGTCAGAAATAATCTTTGTCCATACGCACATATATCACATAAACATTTAGGTACACTGGGCATGCGCATGCTGATGGAAACAGGAACAGACTGTCTGTAATTGGCTGCTTACTTCTAGAAAATTCTACAGAAATGGCGAAAAGTAAGACCAGAGATAACTTTGCTTGGACTGATGATGAGGTGGAACTGTTACTGAAAGTAACGTGAGTGCAAAGCCCAGTTCCCACCAAAAAGTCTCAGTATAGCTCCTTCAGAAAAGTAACCCCTACGAACATGTACCTAGACCCTAGATCTGTTCAGTGTTTCCACTGCAAACAGTACTCTTGAGGCCGTGACACACCAAGCTGACGGTCGATCGTTGGCCAAAGTGGGCCATCGGTGAACGTCTGCCACCCTCATCGATGTGGTGTGTCCCACACTGTTGGCCTTTGTCGGCCCCCTGTCAGCTTCTGTTTTGATGTTGAATCAGCATTGGCAACAACGGAGCCTGTCGGTGAGAGAAATCACGCTAATTGGTGGCTCAGCTCAGCGCACAAGAAGAGAAACGAAAGTGAGGACAGTAAACAAAAAGCGAAAGTCAGGAGGGAGTGTAGCTACAACAAACTGGGTCCATAAGGTCAGATTATTTTTCTTTAGCCATTGAGCTCTTTAGCAGAAACATTTCCTGATGGTTTGTGTTATTGTTTTCTGGTGCGTGGTAAAAATACTCTGTTCCTTCAACTCTGGATTGTGTTGTTAATGTGCTAACTGGCTAACTAGCATCGAGACCGTTTCCAGTTCTTGAATGACAAATACAGACTATCAACGTCTGCTGGTGTGGAAAACTATTTCAACTCATACAGGTGTAGAACGCTAGTGCTGGTTGGCCCTTGGCTGTAGTCTTTTCAGTGTGTCCATGTGCAAGTTTTTGGCCAAAACACAGGTGATACAAGGCAACGCAACAGTCGGCTTTCATTGCAGCTAGTTCTTTGAAGTCAGTTTGGTACAGTCACCTGTAATTGTTGCCATTAATACCAGTGGCTACCAAATTATTGTAACCACATAACTGCATTTCTTGTGTCTTGGTTCCCTGTCTTGAACTCTGAATTATAAAAGAACTGTGACATACGAACTCTCCATGCTGTGGTTATATTTCATGTCTCCGAACGTCCTGTTTATGTGACAGAAATATATTTCCCATATATGTAGATCTGATGTATTGACGTTAACTGACAGCTTTATGTTCAGGTGATCAATGTGCACGTTGAAGGTCAAGTAGGAGTTTGAATTACTTTGAAGGTTTCAGAAAAATATAAATTTTCTAAGGTTATTATGACAGCAACGAGTCACAATGATACCTGTCACCTTTAAAGCTAAGACATTATCTTCTCTATTGTTGCATTATTGCTCTGTAACAGTGACACTAACACAAGTGATGAATTCGTCACTTGGGCTGCTGAGACTTTACCAAGTGTCAATATTCCCAACTCTCAGTACAGATTAAGGCTGTTACATTAGTACCAAAAGGCTAGCCTGTGTGACAAACAGATTCCAGCAGAAAACAGAAACTGGTTGACAAAGTCTATTTTTTAATGTATGTAAAAGTGCATGAAACAGTTGATTTACATTTGGTGCCATTAACGGACACTGTAGAAATCCCTTCAAAGCTGTAACAGCAAACAGAGAAAAGAACAAAATTCTCCTTCACACCTCAACTGCAATTTCTTTCTTTTAAAGGGCGGCTCCATTTGTTTGTTTGATGTTTTTACGTCACTCTGTAGCTTTTCAGTAGTATTCCTCGTGTGTTCAAATCCAAAAATTCTAATTTTGGTCCTAGCTTGTATGTTTTAGCGCCATAATGCTGTTTTCCTAAGCCCTAATACTGCTACAGTATATATAAACCCATGCCCTGATGTGGACGCTACGCGAGTTCGGTTCTGACAGTCACACAATAACACAAACTAAACTATCAAGGTAGCTGGGAGATGCAACTCCTGTGTGCTGTGAGGTAAAATTATTGTATCTGTCAAAGGAGTCTTGTAGCTCTGAACAGAGCATAGTTAACAGCTTTAGTTCCCTGTCTCTCTTGGCAAGGTAAAGCTGTCAAAATACTCTAAATATAACATATACTTAGACTGAAATTGAATTCTTTTTAAGGTGAGGTAATTTTTAGGAGGCTAAAATATGGTTTGCTACTGCCCTTGTCCACAGCCACCAGACTACTTTGCCAGAAACTGTAGATTTTCCTCGCATAACAAAAGGAGTTACTGGTTATCTGCTGCCTTTCTGTCTGTCTGTATTATTGTGGGTCTTTCGGAACCAAACTAACGTGACGTCCAAAGCAGTGCGCTGCTTAGCTTTCGTGGTGGTACTCCTACTAAAATCAAGAGCAGCTTTCTCGCACAAGGCATTTGATCTGATCGGCTTGTAAATGCTGCCGTGAGAACACGAACCAACTCTAGGCAATTATACAACTTTGGAACAACATTAGTCCCTGATTCAGACCAAAGCAAGATAACTGTACGTCTGAAAGCACCCTCAATGTGTCATCATGTGTCTCCTCCAAACTCAAATCTTGCAAGCTAACACTTTCCTCACACTCCACGCTTACACTGTCAGCATTTGTGGGGGTTGAAGGAGGGCAGGGCATCAGCGCTGTAACCTACGTCATTGCTTTTTGGTAGGGCCTGAGTTAGAGTTTCTGTTTCAAACACATGTTAAAGGACGCAGATGGAGCCGCCCTTTAAGATTTTAGGGCACGACTGACCTCTGGTTGTCAGTCAACAATCATCATCTCTCATACTCACAGACTCTTGAGGGTCTTTTCCTGAAACTGATTCGGTTGAAATCTCTCTCCGTATGACTCAAGGCTGAGGCCTAAATCCCCTGAATGTGGCTGTTTCTGCATCATCAGTGCTGTTCTTTGGTTCCACCTGAGCTTGAATACCAGTCCCCTGTAAAAACACCTGGTGCAGGTGCATCTTAATTTCCACCTTTGTTCATGGTATGATTTGGACCTGTCGGTGCCTCTGCTACAGTCTGGCTGCCTCCACATTTACACCTGTGTTCTCTGGCTAGACTGGTGAGGAGCTCCAGGACTCTGATCTCGTGCTCCATGCGAGCTTTCTCTCTCCTCTCCTCCCTCTCGGCCGTCTCCCTCTGCCGGCGCTCCTCCCTCTGCATCCACTGAGCCAGGAGCTCCTGGTGCCAGCGAGCCTGCTCCTGCCGCTGGCTCTCCAGCTGCACCAGCAGGCCCCGGGTCTCCGACACCAGCTGCTGGAAGCAGTCCGACAGGTGCTTGAGGCAGGAGGACTCAGGGTGGTGGTGGCCAGAGGTGGGGAGGGTGTTGGGGTTTGGATCTGGGGGTGCAGGGAGAGGAAAGGCAGCAGGATGGGTGAGAGGAGGGGGAGGAGGAGGAGGAGGAGAAGCTGCAGGTGGAAGTGGAGGTGGCACTACATGTGGGGAAGGAGTGCTCAAGCTGTTTTCCACTAGTGAACCTACGACACAGGATATAAAACAGTACAGGTATGAGATTGGGAACAGAAAATGAATGTTTGTGACTGGTTTTGACTTTTTAATTAACTGCTTCATGTGTTAATACAGCCTAAGCATACCTTAATTGTCAACTACACATTTAACCAATGTCACAACTGAGAAAAGGTTCATGTGTCTGAGGTCAGGTTATTATCTGGTTGTCTACATATTCTTTTCAGCATTGTATTTCCCTTCACACAAAATTATGTGATGGGCGTTATTTTTAGCCTTCAATGATTCATACAATAATCACAGTACATACCACTCATTTCATGATGGATGGATGATTCCAGATAAACTTCATGATGTCGCTGTGGAAATCCTGTACTGCTGAACTCAAACTCATCTGTTGAATCATCTCTGTCCTCCAATTTGACTTCGGTGTCGAGCTGCCACGGCAGACGCCCTCCTCGCACCTCCACAGAGCTCACATGTTGTCTCCCTGTCCTCCCCAAAGAGGCCAAATGCTGTCCACTAATCTCTGTATTAGAATTTAAATCTGGAGGGTCACTTCCTGTCCTGTCAATGGAGTCAAGGTGATGCTCTGACATCCGCTCTGTAGAAACAAAATAGGGCCCTCCTTCCCCTGCCACTGACCTCCGGCCCAACACAGCGTCCATCTCTGCAAAATATTTAAAAGTGCAAGGCTGCAAGCTGTCAACGCTCCTCTGCAGTTTGGCTCTCACATAGTTAGCCTTCAGAGTTTTGACCCGAAGCCGGCACTGGTGTGGACTCCGAGAGAAGCCCATTTCGCTCATGCGGGCTGAGAGGTGTTTGAAGACATGCCTGTTGCGAAGGTTTTCTGCCAAACTCTTCTGGATGCGCTCGTCGCTCCAGGCGCACAGCAGCACCTGAGTTTCCTCCACGGTCCAGTTAACCGAGCGCTCGGCCTCTCGTTTTCCTGAACATACAGAAACACAGCTGAATACAGTGAACAGCTTCACAGCTGGTGTTGTAAACATTTTCATGACAAGCATCATCAAATGGACACACACGAGAACACTGACACTTCATTTGATTTTGCAAAGGATCGCTTCCTGAGATGTTTTGCTGTAATCCGAGGTGTTGTACAATCTATAGAAGAGGGAGTGTAATTAAATGCACGTGTACATGTAGGTGCAAGGTTGGAGAACAACTTCAATGAAAAAGTAATGCCAACACACTGACTCCAAACCACAAACTGAATCCAGTCCAATTTAATCCAATTAGGATCAAACTGTGGTCCATTTAACAAAATGTAGAAAAACTTGAGTCAGTGTGGAGATGTTACTTTTGCACTAGTTGAAAATCACACATTCGTTTGTACCAAGTCAAACAGCCCTGCAATAAATTCCACCTTCATTTTCTTCAATCAACTGTGGGGCCATTTTGCAGGCTGCAGTTACTTTCTGACTACTGTTACTTTCTAAATAATTAATCTATCCTCACTGAAATGGGTGGAAAATACTAGAAACACCCTCCAGGATGATGCAACACAACAACACAGCTCTAAGACTGCCTTAATTTAACAAGACGGACCTAATAAACTGCCAACTGAAAGTCTATCACTATCTGAACTGTACACCGTACACTGAAGACCATCTGAGAATAACTTTTACATGGATCTAGTTATCCTCTCACAGATTGCGTGTGGAAATGAGGAGGTGAAGCCGTACACTACCTGAACAACATGTGTGTTGCTGCAAGACTGGCATACAAAATGAAGAACATATAATTGTGTGCCCTCTTACACAGCATATCTGTGAGAAATACAGACAAACCCAACTGAACTGAGCTCACTCTTGAAGAATCTTAGTCATGTTACATGCATGTCTTGCAGGATTTGAGCACCAGCAGGTCTCTACTGAATGACGGGATTCTGTGTTGTTCGGTGTTAACATTTAATGTTTTTAATAATTAGTTCAGCGTATGATTTTGGGATATTATTTTTATTGTTGTTTGTGTCAATAAAATAACCAACTAACTAACTACAAGAGCGTGCATCCACAGCACAGTAGCAGCTATATATACATGAGGCATCACACATCCTTAAACATTCTTTAAAATCTAACTATGTGACCTTACATTGAATGAAATAACCAGAAAAGTAAACAGCACATTGTCACTTTAGTCACATTTTACTGCACAATATCACTTTACTCTTCATGTAGCATATTAAACTGCAACTGCAGGTGAACTCGTCCAGATTCTACATGCATTGATCTCACTAGTAACAATATAAAAACTGATTCAAACGGGGGGAAAATAATCTGTAAAATCAACTCAGGTAAAACACTGACGGACATGTGAACCTGCAGATTTTGGGTCACAATGATGCATGAGTCAAAGGCAGGAATTCAGTCCTTGGCAGCTAAGTTTTATAAGTGTGTATGGTTTTTTTCAAACCCCTAACTATGTGGTAAAGTAAAGGCTGTCCAAGGTATTTAATTTCCATTCATAACACAGTGTGTATGTAACTCACCAACACAGTTATAAACTGGCTTAAATATCCCATTACTGTGCTGATAAATCTGCAGATTTCAGGTCTACACAGTTAAATGCATGTCCATTTTAACCTGTATCATATACTCACATTACTCGTGCTTGCTAATTAGCCAGATAGCAAGCTGTTAGCTGACACTGGATGTATCAAGACAGCTAACTACCAGGTAAAAGTTGAGGGTTAGCTAGCGAGCTAATTCAGACACACACTGGACACTACCAGCCTGAAAACATCGCCTGCGATTCAAAGGGCTCTGGGTGTCAATGTTTAAGCAGGATAATTAACAACGAGTGGTTTAAACGTTAAATACATGAGTTTAAACACACTAGAGAGCTGTTTCTGCTCTTTGTAACACAGCTAATGTTAGCGGCTAACAGCTAGCTAACGTGCCACATGACTGTTGTATCTAGTTCTGACTCTCTGCTGCACAACAACAACACGTCAAACATGTCGATAGATGAAATAAATCTTACTTTTGGTCGTCGAAACGGAGCTGGTCGAGTTAATCATCGGAGGATTCATTTTAACAGGCTGCAGAAAATGTAAACAATCCTCTCACACACCGACTCTCCTCTCTTCCGGGTCACGTCGAGTCCAGCGTATGACGTCGCGTGACGTGTTGCAGAGCTGTGTTACAATATTAATACATGCAGAAAGCAAAAACCATAAAACACCATCCATCTTCTTGTTGTTTTGTAATTCCCTTAAAAATATAAAATATAAATATGCAAACGAACTGCTCAACTCTTAAAATGTACAAATTAAACCTGAAAATAATATGGTTCACTTTTAAATCAAGTTTGTTTTGTATTTTTCATGTTGTAATTTTTATAATTTGTATCTTTATTTATTCATTTTCTATTAAATGTTTTATTTTTTCCCTTATTTTGGCTGACATAGATTTCCCTCTTTTCCCCCTATTTTTTTTAAATCAGTTCCATGACCATTTACTGTGATAATCACAAATATTATGTAAAAATAAAAAAAGAAATATTATAATATATCTATACATCTAATTTTATTATTAGAAATATTTATTCAAAAAAAAAAAAAGAGATACCGCAAATATATATACATAACAATTAAAAAATGTATAATGACAGATCTGACACATGAGAAATATAAATAAATTAAATATTATTTTCTGCACTAACTGTTTGGGTCTGTCTCTTCTACTATTATTGCACACACTGAAATATTGCTATAATATCTTCCCCATAATACTCATTTACATATAGTACTGAAAATGTATCACAGATTCTTACATTATATATACAGCCCCAATCTGCAATGTTCCCATTTGCCCTATATCTTATCTTTACAGATTCTATAATTATTTATATCTCCTCTGGGATTATTAAAGTTTCATGTTATTGTATCTATGAAGGATACGATGAGTTTAACATCACATATTCATTGCTTTTTAATATGCAGTACATTCATAAGGACCTGTATGTTGTACAATATTTATTCAAAAAAGTGCTCCATAAATTTTTGTCAATATAATATACAATTCTTAACAAAGCTGTGGTGTGGAACGTGATACGTTTCCTGCATATGCATTTATTCTTCCAGTGGTTTATGATCAGGTGTTGAAATTATAGTCACACAATTGGATGTCGCATATTACAGAGATGTAGAGATGACACACATGCAGCAGTAGGGGCTGGGTAATGAGAGTGGGGGGGGGTTAAGATATATGTCATATATGGTACACAACCACGTCTGTGTTCACGCAGACAACAGCGATGCATGAATAAATGCAGCCACCTCATTCATTTCAAAGAGACAGACACAGTGGGGTGCCGAGGCTGAGGCCTCAGGCAAAATACATGCAGAGTTATAAAGCTAGAAAAGTTTAACCTGGCTCAACCTTTGGCACAGCTCAGTCCCACGCCAACAGACGTGCAACGCAATGCAGAGGGGCAATCAAATACATTTGAGGGCACATTCCTTTGTAATGAGAACAATGTAATTCTACTGTTTACCCTGCAATCAGACATAGTGTGTGACCCGGTAAACAGCAGCCCCTTGTATTTTTATATTTTTACACAGCGTTATTTTTTTGTTTAAATTCCAGTTGAGATCCTGTTTAGACCGTGTGTCTTGTATGCACTTATACTCAGACTGTACTTGGGACCAAGTACACATAAACGTGAGTTAGTCTGGAACCTCATTTTCCCCATTTTCAATTTCCAGGGGGCGTAATCAATAGCCCCTTTTACACTGCCTCTTCAAGGCGGGAATTTCACTGTCACCTCTTTCTCAAGGCCTGCGATAAAGTCTGAGTGGTCGCTTGTGGCCGCTTCCAATGAAGCTGCCTGCCCTCCCAATGTTGTCAGCTTTTGCTGTTTCGGTGGCCTGTTGCAATTCTCGTTTTAGTTGGTTAATCATGGCACTTTGACTGTCGGCCTTCTCCTCTATCTTAGTGAGTAGCTCGTCCCTCAACGTTTCGTTAGCACGGAGGATGGTCATCTCCCCAGCCTGCACAGTTTGTGTGTTAGCAAGTGAGCTAGCATTAGCCTCGTTGGTCTTTTTCTTGCTCACTTCTCCTCGACCATGGGTCAAAAGTGGTTATATACTCAACCCTTGCGTGCGTGACTTGGCTGTCCCGTAGCTTTGGCGAGAGATAAATTAAGTCAATAAATGTAGCAGTTCAGGTGAGGAGCTCAGTAAGGAAGTGTCCTGACATGTTTTGCCAGAACCAGCAGTCCTTCAAGGCGGGAATTTCACGCCTTAATGCAGCCTCAGCGTTTTATAAAAAAGATAAAATCTCTGTACAAGGGGACAGAGTTGTCTCACCTTTAAGATGGCATCAGAGGTAGTAACAGCACTGATCATGGAGGGCACAGGTGTGACTTCTTGACAACTTATTATGTGTGTGACCCACTGTGGGAGATTTAAAAAGTAGCTCTTAGCAGTTAGCAGCTAACTTAGAAAAGAAGAGCAGTGGCCGAAAATGTCCGCAAACGGGAAAACAATGCGGTCCAGGAGTTACTTACCCAGAACACAATATCAGCTGCTGTATAATAGAGACAGTAAATGATTGTTATTGCCATGTTTTGGCTATTTGGTTATTGTTTATCAAGCACTCCCAGTGCCTTTGTTTTTGGTCATGGTAGAGGCCAACGCTGTTGTGTTAATAGTCACAACCGTCACGCCTCTTTTGATTCCTCAATGCTGTCTAAAAAAGTAACCAACAGAACGTGAATCAAGCACTCCTGTCCGAATGCTTCTTCAGTGCATTTTGGGCCCAGTCACACTTGTATTCAAAGCTGTCCCCCGTGTGATCAAGATGTCTCCCCAGAGGCCGTGAATTCATCTCAACTTTGAATAAGAAGAGGGACCCATTCAGGGGAAACGGCTCCTAAAGAGGCAGTGAGGTGCTAAGGGCTCGTCTTGTGCATTCTCTGGATGTCTGCTGAGCGCATTAAGATCTCTGGTGTCCCTCCTTCTATTTCACTGGTTCACCTCCTCAGCCTTTCATCCACAAACACAGCAATTAGCGGGGGGTAGTTCTAAAGTGCTGCTAATGCAGATTCAGTCTGCTTTCCTGCAGTGACATTTGCATTTTGAGCTTTTAGCCTTTGTTCTGTCGTAGAGTGACTTGGATTGAGTTTAACAGTAATCTCAAAAGAGAATGCATGTGTCATTTACAGTTAGAGCCCATTTGCTTCTGTCTAACACCTCCTTAAAGTGTTGCAGTGCACGCCATATGTAACAGTTTGTTTTAAAGTCATTTTCAACACTTCTCTTAATCGCTGTCACACTAGGATTTTTTGCTTAAGTACAGCGGCGTTGTTAGGCCTGGGTGAGGTTTCGGCCCAGAATGGTTTATAAACAGCCCTAAATAGGCTGTATATATATGTTTTAAAAAAAATAAGACTAGGCACTATAATGGAAGAAAAAAGCATTGGAACTAATAACGTGTCATTTCGTTGATGCATTAAAGCTCTCAAAAAATGATAAGATACCGTTTTGGGTCCTCTGCGTCATTGAAGCTGTGCATTTCTTGTGGTTGCCGGTAATCACTTTAAAGTTGCAGCTAGTCACAGCGGAGCTCATTTTAAATGCTTTATATACAGCTGAGTAATTAGAGTAGAAGTATAAAGTGGCATAAAATGGAAATACTCAGGTAAAAGCACCTCAGAATTCCCTAAATTTTAATGATAGCAGTTGCAAAGTACTCTGTTTCTACTTAATACTAATTACTTACAACTACTAATATATTTAACACCACAATTCATAATTAATCTGCAAAATTAAATTTAAAAAATGGTTTTAAAGGTAAGTGAGATGCAAGAGCGCATAAAAAAGCATCAAAATAGAGCTTGTTAATGAAAAGAGTCTGGGTTAAGCCCCAAATGTCCTAAAATCCTACACACACCCCTGCTGAAGTAGATAAAATCCAATTTCCTCTATGTGTGTTTCAGATATGTTTATGGTGCACTCCATTTGCATTGGAAAATCAGAATTTCTGCGTTTCAAGTTGGAAATTTTGACTGGAATGCCCCCTGAAGTTGGACTTCCGACTTGCAAAGTCAGAGAAACTTCACTAACTCTGACCTCGAAACCCAATATGGCTGCTCTGTACATCAACAGCAGTGAAAGCTGCAGTAACACACTGTTTATTAGCACTTTTGTCTTATTTGTGTCTCATTTAAACAGTCATATGTCCAGCTTATAGCTGTAGATGTGCTGCTATGGTGTTTGTATGCAAGTGAAAAAAAACAGACATGGTTCAATGAGTATTTACTTTGTTAGTCTGCTCTCACGCAACCATGCTCACTCTCAAATATGTTGACAAGCTAACAAGCTAACAAGATAATGGCAAGTAAATAAGACTTATAATGTGCACAAGGAGGTGTACTTGAGAACTTGAGAAGTTGTTTCCTTCTGGTTATAAGTGATCATCTTCATCCAATTATCAGTTAAATAACAGAAGTTACGTTAATACAGTTTAGTGTTCCTGTAACATTCTGACTTTGCAGGCAGCGTGAATACAAACTACAACAATTAACCCATACAGAGACCTTCATTTCCTCCAGGGGTCAGAAGACAGATGAGCTAAACTCAGCACCAGAAAGTGAGAACAGAGCAGAAACTGAAATCATCACTGCCCTGTTGGTTCAATGCTCCTGAATGATCTCACAATGAGGAAGTGTGAGTTTAAAATAAAAGGCAGTGGGGAATTTTAAGCATACTGTGTATTAAATTGGCACAGGAATACACAGGGGAATGCAAGAGCACGTGAAAAAGTCCTAGTTACACTGGAAGATGGGCTCGACTGTCCGGTTTCAACCACAAGTTTTAGTTTTGGTTCAAGGCATTAAGTTTCCCAGGAAGTCATTGGTGCTGTAATGGGACTTCCCTGTGGCCCAGGGACTATCAGGGTGGAGTTAGTAGTGGTGGTTGCTGCACTGTTTGTCACCGGTATCGATATCTGGACTTGGGAAAAGAATTACTTTCAGTGTTATAGACATTTAAATCACCAATGCACAACCAGAGAGTCTAAACCAGATCAATAACAGGAACACACTGGTACTTTGGAGAATTTTCTGGAGTTTTCAGACTCTCTCTGTCTCATCATGTTTCATT